TCGACGCAAGAGACTTAGAGTTCACCCAGAGTGAGAGTAAGAGCGTGTGATAGAAAACATGATCATGAATGGCAGCAAACCTCACTCTCATTTTATCCCCCTTCGCTCATAAAGTCTGAAGCTCAGCAGAATGATTTGGCAGTAGGCATTCTACTCCTCAGAAAAATGCTACGCTCGGTTTCAAACTTTCAAACTCGCGAGCGAGGCTCCAGCAAGCTTGCTTCAAAGTCACAGCATTAGATGGTTACATTTCTCCTGTTCGAACGAAATCTCGAACCTTCCTCTTTATGGAGCCCATCAGCACGGACACGGAATCAGCGCATTTCTTCCATTTTGCCCGCATTTGCAGGATGTCCTTGACTGCTCCACCGCTTCGTCGAAATCACTGCTTTGAAATTGCCCAGATTCCGGGCAATTCGGAAGATTCATTAGCTTGGGGACAAAATCGATCTTGTTGGCAGTATACCACTCTAGCACCATCTTGGAGCAGTGGCAGCTGGTCAAATCGGGCCAAAAGATGACTTTACCTCTAGGCTTGCGGATGAACGGCAATACACGCTTTTTCAGGCATTCTTCGATGTAAACTTGGGATGTCATCGTCGAGGATGTGACGAATGGTTCCGCGTTTTCAGGCCACAACTGCAAATCGCTTGCCAAATCATGGCCTTCTTCGTGAACTTAACGGAAAACACGAACTTGAATCTTCTCGGCACATCCCTACGTCCAGTCGCGATTTAAAACACGGTCGTACAATAGCCTTGCACCTTTGTGGCCACGGTTTCATGTGCCGGTTCGGTTGTTTACTGGCTTTGTACGACTTGTATCCTTCCCTGACAAGGATGTTCCGCACCATTTGAAAGTTGGCGTTGCACCTTCTGGCCACATCTCGGATCGAAAGACCGGGGTTGGCTTTAACGCACCTCAACCCCTTGCTGGGCAGCTGATGATCCCTGAATCCAGTTTTTTCGTAGGTCCGCTGTGGAAAGGAATATTCAGGGTTTTCTTGTAGATTTTGAGCACTCGACAAATTGTTGTTTTCGGCATCTTAAGCTCTTTAGCCAGCTTGGAACCGGACCACTCCGGATTTTCCACGCATTTGTGCACAATATTTTTTCTTCTTTCGAGTTCCATTTGCCGTTATTTCTGAACGCGATCGACTACTTTGTTTAAACTTGCACCAGTTGTTCTCTATAGAAGTGTAAACAAACCACTGTCAAAGATTTTCGATTCCCAACACTAGAAGCGTGCTGCTAGCGGCGCGTGAGGGGCGTACCAATTTACTTTTAGTCAGGTTTAATGTCTAACAGCAGCACTGAATAGAAAATTAACCAATAGAAAAAGGTTAATGGAATACCTTCAACACTAGCAGAATGGTAGTAGATTTTTGTAAACAGTTTCATCCGAGTTGGGAGTTGGGGAAGACTATACAGTCAAGATTCCTATAGTACGGTTAATGGGGACCGCACAATATGGACCCGCAATATCGACTACACGTAGCATATGGGATTAGAGCTAATTGGGGACAAACACTTATTGTAGGGTAATTTGAAGAGATAACTTCCTGGTGTCTTCTGAAAATTTATTAAGCTCCGTGATTTTTTTGAAACCACTCATAGACGTCATATCATAATGGATTCGGAGTTATGACCAGCAAATGAACCCTAGGGACCAGTGGGTGGCCCTCCGAAAGATCCAAAAACATCCGTTAAAGTTATCAATTCATGAAATCTAGGATCTCCGTGTTTTTTTTTCGAAAAATCTCATAGGTTATTTAAAGAAAACTGATCTCAGAACTCTGTAGTTTTCTTAGAACTGATCATAGATATGATTTTTTCTATATATTATTATCGATCTAGGTCAATATTTTAGTACCTTTTAGGGACTGTTATTGGAATTTTTGAATATTATTTCTTGGATTTTTTGAACTTTTTTTCTCTCGGCTAACGAGGGACAATCTAATTCCCTTCTTTAGTAATTTTGACGTAGGATTACGTCTTTCGGCAACATATTGGAGGTGCAATTTTAAGAAGCCCAAATCAATCGCGTTACGAAAAGTGGTCAGGTTTTGACCACATATAACTCTGTCAATAGCGGATGGATTTTAATTCTAAAAAAACCAATCGATTAGCAATTATGCTATGAATCTGCTAAATTGAACACTTTATTAATTTTCAATAGGTCACTATTGTAAATTACGCAAATGTCCAACTGTTGCAATGGTGATCAAAATTATCAACGATTGCCTGCAAAAACCGCTTTCCCTAACTCAGATTTCAAAATCGAATTCCACCCGGTCTCACTCAACTGCTTATTCAATCATCGTGTGTGGTGGTGTCCGGTTGGTCTTCATCGTCATCATCAGCAGCAGCAGCTGTGCTTTCAGCGCGTGGCGTTGGAAGTTGTACACAACGAAAGGTTGCCAGCAAGCAGCGAGCTGCAGCTGACATGAGCGACCATTCACCGAAGAAACTGCCTCACCGCTACTGATCGGATTCAGTTGCTCGTTGTTAGTCGCTGCCATCTATGCCAAGCGCGGCAACATACAGCTCACCAGTCTCATCCTTGTTGAACGGTTCTTTTCAGGACCACCATGAATTATTGTTGTTAATTTTCATTGAACGTTCGCTCGCCTTGCTGCCAGCCACATCAGCCCCAAAGCTCTTTGATAATGTACCCAGCAACAAAACGTTTGCAACATGATCATGTTAATTAAACAGAAACACTTCGAATCAAGGTATGGTTTTCTCCAGGACGCTAGAAAAAAGCAAAAAAATCCCAAATTTATATGATTGATTGCGAATACATCGCGATTGGAAAATTTAAGCAAGAAATTTCTTCAATCAATTTGCGCTTTTTTTTATCTATTGAATAAACGAAAATTCCATGCGTTTTGTGCACCGAAAATGCTTAATTTTGTCATCAAAAAACGGGGCGTTTCCGTGATGGGAAAAAGTGGTTTCCCTAACACAGTCGCCGAATATTTATACCGAGCACTTAACATGCCAGACGGTACCTATCTTTATGCCGTTTGATGCAAATTTTAGGCCCCTCCTATTAAGAGAATTATTCAAAAAAAAAATGCCTACTTCTCTTAATAGAAAGTGCTTAAAATTTGCATCAAAAGCATAAACGTAAGTACCGTCCGGTATACCCAGTTTCTGTGATTGATGCGTTTTTTTTTTTCCCTAATACATATTTCATTACCGCACCGCTATCATCTCCAAGAAAATCGAGGAAAAAAATCAACAGCATCGTTCTAAACTGGCTTCTAAGCTTCCAACCCATCGGTCCTTTTTAGGACCACAAATGACTTACAAAAGAGTTCAAGTAAGAGCTTGTATGCAAGACATACCGTCCAGGATTTGCTTGTACTACAAAGACACCGACAGACCCCCTCAAAACAGAACTCTCAAATTGCTTCCGAATTTCAACCTATCGAACTTTTTCACCGATTACGAGTTAAGAATTCCATTTAATATTTACTATACTTTTGCTGTGACATCAAAACTACCTTTCGTAATCCTACGGCACGTCTTGGGTCGTGGCTTGGATACAACATCTTACTTTTTTCATGGAATTGCTGAATAATAATAGATTAGGTACTATTTCTTCGACTTCGACGCCGACTCGTTATGCTCAGAAGTGCGTCCAACTCTGACTCCGACTCCACAGCTCTGGGTAAATAAAGTTTGCCCAACATTTTAGGGTCCAAGGATCAGTCCCATACGGAAAAAGTATGCATTGAGAAAATGGCAGTCGAAATTTCAAAGTGCAATTTTCATGTAAATATTTGAAAAATCATAGCTTTTTTTTTTCGAGATATTATCAGTTGCAATGAAATTTGCATGTTTAGTTATATCAGTAGAAAATATGCCAATTTTGAAAGCAGAACTGTAACTTGACTGCTGGCCTATGGAATTTCAGATTGGGACTGATATGCGATTACTTTGCTTGATGGGACTGACTTGACGTTGTTTTTACATTTTTCACGATAAAAATCCGTATTTGTGTCACATAAAGGGTGTATTCGTGGAAAATAGCACACACATAAGCTGAGACTATTTGGTATAAACCAAAATCAAAATGTTTGAAATTTAATTTAAAAAAAAAAATTCATTTTGAGTAACAAAACCATTTTAAACAAATAAAATATCAATTATTTTACACCAAACCAAACAATTTTTTTTCTGGCGCACTTCACAATATTCATAATCAGTGAATAAATTGAAGGCGGCGTTGACAAAATTCGTAAATATAGATAAAATGCAGTTTTTTACCACTCTTCAACATTTTTAAGACCACATTTTGTTCTCCTGATCTAAACTCAAACCTACCCTATGCTTTGCTTATTTAGGACACTCTAAACCAGCGCTGCCCATCGTGCGGCCCGTGGGCTGTGGTCTCTGGATCCCAGCAATGGCATCATTTCAGTCCAGTTTTATTCATCATTATGAATTTCAGCCCAGCATGAATGAGAAAGAACCAAAATGTTCATCGAACTATATAAAGCCATTAAAAAAGTTTAATGTGCTGTAAATCATCATCTTTGAAAATTTCAAGTCATTTGCTATTTATGTGTGTGCCATTTTCCACGAATACACCCTTTAATATGAAAGTAGATGCCAATCTATGTGGAGAGCGTTGTTATCTCAAAATTAACGCAAATCCAAATGGGACAGATATGCGATTCTCATCATGAATTGTATATGTTAGCGGATTATTTATCCATGAATGCAAACGAATCGAAATTCAACAAGACCCAAACAACTGCAGTGAAATCACTGGCCTTTCCCAACAACCAACACACCCTGTTTTCAACGACTTCACCCAAACTGCATCGCAAAAATGCAAATGACCTGTCAAAGACCAAACCCATCATCAACAAACCAACAAACGTATTCTTATTTTGCGAAGTTATGCTCCAACGACTTGATCTAGGTCGCTGACGACGACGACGTCGTCGTCGTCACCATCGTCACACAACGCTCATGTAAATTCACCTGCTTTGCGTCTGCGGCATTTCCTCCGTTTTCGCCTTCGCTGCTGCTGCTGTTGCAAGAGCAGCTCCGGTGACGCAGACAGTGATCTTAGGATTGGTAATTTGTCTCGGTAGGCAGACGAACACTCGTCGAAATCCCCATCGTCGCCATCCAAGTAGAGAATCCCCTCGTCCACCGAGCAGCTGGCCGAGCTCCAAGAACCTTTGTGCAGTGTGTTGGTCGTACCGCTGTCGATGGATCGGAGATCTTCCCGGGACGCTGCCGCAGGTTCATCGTCGAAGTCTACCATCCGTGAGTAGAGAAACTCTTCGGACGGAGTTCTGGGCAGTTTATCGTCTGTTTTCACTAGTGGAACCGGGGGCAGCGGTAGATCCGAGAAGAATTCTGAATCATCACTGTTGCTGCTGCTGTTGCTGCTGCTGCGACTGCCACTGCTACGTTCCCGGATGGTGCTCAGCCGGTTAAAGTCACAGCGGGGAGCACCGATGGACCGATGCTGATGCAGATCGTCGTCTTCCATTATTTTTAATCTCGCAAACTAGACCGAGTGTTGCGCACTGTTCTAATTAATTTCTTCCCCGTATTTATGGTACGCCACGAGCCGAGAACAGAATAACAAATCACATACACCGACAGTGGAAAAGGAACACGTAAAAATCAACCAACACTTCGCGTTTCGGCTGTTCATTTATTTCTATTCACAGACAACATTTCTATGCTTTCGACGCAGCATGAAGATATGCACTCTCAGGAAAAACAAACAAGGAATTTTATAACACTATTAAACTCGAAAATCAGAGTAGAATTTTCCAAATCGATGTTATACTTCTTCCAAGGTGGGACCGCTGCCACGTTCTGCCGAAAGATGAAGGCGCGTTTATAAATATTTTTCGCAATTGCCCAAGACACCGCGGGCGAAGAACCACGCGCAACACGTCAGACGACGACGACGACGATGATGGCGACGCGGCGCCTGCGTTGCTGCGAGCTACAAGTCGCGTTCTGTTGTCCCATCGGACTTGTCAGACTAAACTGACGAATGTGCACAGCGAGTTCGAATTCAGTGGCGACGACGACGAGACGCTGAGCTCTCTCACGAGCATATTGGCATTCATTTCCCTTGCGTTGTTCCCTCGGCTTACATGCACGCGGTTCATCAGAGACAACGCGACCGGTGATCGTAAGGTCAGGGAGTACGAATCAACGAATCATTTACAATGTTGATAGGTGATAAGCCGCATTTGGATGGATTGCTCATGCATGGGGGTTTTTTTCCCCCTACCTAAGAAAGATGACTAAGTGGTTTGATTCGGCGAAATGGTGAGGAATACAAACTGCGTTTATCTGTGAAGGAAGCCGTCTACTGAATGTGGTTAACTAAATAAAACTGTCAGTATCGTCTTTCGGCAGAACGACAACATTTTCATCGTCTATAAGCAGTTCCACGCCAAATAACAAATCGATCAGACTGGACCTTCTCCACTGGACCTAGTAGAAATGTGAATGATTGCCAATAGCAAAAAATTATGCAGAATTGCATGCAAATCGGAGAAGGTCGAGTCAAAAAAAAAATTATTTTTTGCTATTTGGCCAGGAACTGCTTGAATGTTGATCTCTCGGAGTTTGTTAGTTGCTCGTGTTCGTGTCGGGAAATGATGATTATTTGTTGATATAGCGAGCAGAAATCGATATATGAATCTCATAATTCAAATCAATATTTGTGCTGCGTGAAATATCGGATGGATGGAATGACAGCACGTTGAGTTTTAAACAGGCTGAACATTCATGGGTAAGGAATTGTTTGATTTTTGGGTAACCATTCTTTGGACATTTTGTGACTACGGTGTGTATTTTTTACGTTTAAGTTTACGCTTCTATTTTTATTTATATTGCGGACTTATTTCTTAAATTCAGGCCACCGGACCTTTTTAATTCATTCAACACCATTTACCCCTTTAAGGACTAGTTTTTCACACATTTTTAATATGGTTTATGAATTTTCTAAGCGATTGATTCATCACATAAAAAGGAAAACAGCAATTTTGTTTAAGGTGATCTAGAATATCCTTACTATTCTGGAGTGCTAATCTTTGACTTTATCACTAAAAGCCACATAACCCTCTGTTTCTCACTGCTCATCTGACGTGTATAGAGGTCCCCAACAACGGTGTAAAATTTGGTTATCATCTGGATGTGCAGAAGAATTTTAAATTTTGGGAACCGACACGAACTAATTTGCTTAACGAAAATTCAAATACGGCTAAAATTTAACCAAATCTTGGTAGTGGATTGAGTAATATGCAGAACAACTTTATCGAAGACTGCAAATCAATTAGCTCTCTGAGAAAAAAAAAATTAGTAATATATCAATTTAAACCTATTGCTCCTCGCATACCGATCCACTCCAATTTGCACCAAAAATTGGTGGGTTAACTTATTTTAGGTCAGGACAAAAAATCCAGTGTTGTGCCATTTTCCGATTTTTAATAAATATAGATTTTCATTTTTACATATCTTTGAAACCAATAATGATACAAGCGACATTGGGTACCCTTTTGATGAATTTTGTGATTTTTTCTTTGAAAACTTTAAATGCATATATCTCAAAACTGCCCCTACTTTTTTATGACACCAATGTGTTCAGCAGATTTTTTCACATAAGAATTACTTAACGAGAAAAATAATAACATGTTTCGTTTAGATGATATTGAATTTAAAGGATTTCAAGATTTTTAAATGATTAATTCATTCGCTTCGATATGGAATTTGACGGTATTTTCCAGTTTTTCTGTAATTCGATGCCACCATCTCGAACTTCAAAATGGCGTCGGACATTGATTTCTTGTTCGTACACGTCACTTCGATTCCAAAAATACCCATATTGTTGGGTTATTAAACAGTATTCTTCTGATTTTCTCTAACCGGAAGTCGCCATATTGGATTTCAAAACCACGCCTGGCATGGATTTCCAGTTCTAACACGTCACATTACGGGTTATTAAACAGTATTTTTTTCTGTTTTTCTGTAATCGGAAGCTGCCATCTTGAATTTCAAAATTGAATGGAGTCAGGCATCGATTTCCGGTCCCTACACGTTACTCCGATTTTTTAAAAAATATCCATATTTTGGGGGTATTTGATAGTATTTCCCAGTTTATCTTTAACCGGAAGCCGGCATCATGAATTTAAAAATGGCGTCAAACATGGATTTCTTATCCCTACACGTTACTACGATTCCAAAAATACCCGTATTGTGGTGCATTTGACAATATTTTCAAAACCATATTTTTACGAAGTAAATCCCAAAAAACGACTTTTTTTTACGAACTAATTCGATTTACGAACCCCCAGTTCTACAGTGTTGCCAGATGCGATGTATACAATTATATTTCTTCACAGTGTTAACTTGACTGTCGACAGAAGCAGACCACTCTCAATGTGTGTCACGCGATCGTCTGTTTACTCGTCAGCAACCATTGTGTGGTCCTCTTCATTGTTCTTCATCAGCAGTTCTTTCAGTCGATGCGTCGTCGAATTTGGAAAGCAACCGTTTCGTAATGCATGTGTCCAGAGTGGCAAGTGAACCAGGAAAATCAGGAAAACCGGGTAAAAGTCGGGAATTTATTTTCACCAGGAAAAACCGGGAAAAAACCAGGAATTTCATAAGTCCACCAGGAAAATAATCTAGTTTGTATAATTTGAATAGGTTTTAGATTTTATGTATGTTAAAGTTTCTTTTTATAATCAGGTCAAAACTAACCATTTTGTTCAAGCTTAATCTTTCACACAACTAAACATTGATGAACAAAATTTACCGTGAGAATTTAGTAAATATATTTCGTATTTATTGTTAATTTAATCTTTTTTTCTCGAATCAATTGCATGTATGATTTGTGCTTAATTGATAGCAGACTTAAGCAGTTCCGACGCATTACTACTTTAAGGTACCTGTTCAACATGTTCAATAAAAAAGTTCTATTTCTAAAAACTTCAAATAAGGCCTTCGAACTTCATGCAAGTTCTGCAAAATTCGGGAAAGTCTTACAAGTTTCTGGAAAAATCCTGTGAACTACTGCGATGACCTACGACGGTCAGGAAATCTTTCCGAACCTTCAGAGAAGATCTACAAATTTCAGAGAAGTCTTACGAACTTCAGGGAAGTCCTTTAATCTTTGGGGAATAACTACGAATTTTACAGAATTTTCTACAGATTTAATGTAACTTCTCCGACATTTAGGAAATGCTTAAAACTTAAGGATAATCCTATGACACTCATGGATTTTTCCGAGCTTCAGAGACGTCTTCAATACAGGGTGTCCATTCAAATTCCTTTTTACAATTCCCGGTTTTCCCGGTTTAAAAAAAAAAACTCTACCTTAAAAAAAGGCGTTCAAAAATAACCCTTTAGAGATAATGATAAAATTTTGTCAGCACAATTCATCTACAATATGCAGGGTTGGTAGTGGGTATTTTATACAATAGTATTGGCTACAATAACGAAAAAAGTGACCAAATAGTGACTTTAAAACAATAACAAAGTGACCAATAGTGACATTAATTGATTGAAGGATATCAAATATATGGATCTAATATGTCGTTGAATGCGATCCACTTTGAGAAATATTATAAATTCCCAAACCACGATGAGAATTTTACAAGCTTTTTATAAATAAAACAAATGGTTGAAGGATCTTATAAATTTGTTTTCGTAAAATCAGTATTAATTGGATAATCAATAGGTTTTCTGCCACTATTTTTTGGAAACCAACCATTGAATTTAGATTCAGATCGCGAATTGGTTGAATTTCGGGATGTGACAGATTGAACATAGACATTGAGGTGCAAAGAAAAATGTTCAACATCTTGGACAAATTTGTCAATTTTAAGACAAGCAATTTTAAAGATCTCAAATATAGAAACTTCTGTAAAACTTTAACAAAGACAAATTTTCATATCTCTGGAACCTAGACAAGTGTTCTGGATCGTATTAATAATTATCATTATTCTGGAACGAGGAAATTTTTTTCGAAAAATCTCGATCTTCAAAAAAGTTGTAAGATTCTGGTATACATTTAAGAGATATTGGACATTTTTTTTTGTTTAATGCTTGTACTTAGTAATTCACTATCTTTAATTCAAACAAATTAAGAAAGCGTAGAATAATTTACGATATGTTAGAATGTAAGTTCATAGTACGAGAAAAACTTAATGTTTCTAAAATATAGAAAGGATTTTGTGATTTTAAACATAGAATGTATCTAAAATCAGGGCTTGGAAAAGAACTTCTGAAAAAAAAAAAGAATCTACTACATGATTGTTCGATGTTTGTCGATACTAAATCTTCCGGCTTTCAAAGATTTATGGAAATTCAGGTATTTGAAAAAATCTCTAGCGCTTGGAAAGTTTCCTAGACCATTTTTCAACATATTAGGCTTGGAAAACTTTCAAGACGACGAAGAGATATCGGAACCAGAGTTTATTTTTTTCGAAAACTCAGAAAATTTGTGATACCTCGAGATCATAGACAATGGAAAAAAATTGTACAACCTAAGTTGTTGAAGATAATGGACCTGAAACAAATGCACTCTGGTCATTCTATTTAAGAATTCAAAAACCTGTTTTTTTTCCAGTTGTCTAAACCCAGTTTTTCCAATTTAATCGAAACAGTTAAATATGGTAAAATACCCCAAGTACCATCACAAGTTTTATTGCATGATAAAACCCAAATCCTTACTTGAAGCATAGATTATTATTTCGCTTAACTAATGACCCCAAATAATACAGTAAGTAATATGTAGTAAGGTCAAAATATGTTATTCTCAATTATGGATTGGAATTGAGAAGAGAAATGCAAGGAAATTCCAATGATGATTTTTGAAATAATCGTAAAAGAATCTTCAAGGATTCCAAGAGGATGATTTGAGAATGCTTAGGAAAATGTCAAGGAAAGTATTTTTATATTTATAGTAATTTTCACACTCCGGGTGAAATTTGATCTCATGATTTTGGAGTGAGAGGTATTCAAAGATGTCCTAGTCTTGGTATATTGTTAAAGTGCAGAAATTAGTGTTTCATTTATCTGTACGGTGTCGAAA